ATGTTATGATAAATCACAGAGAAAAAATGTGACAATGAGTGTGTATATGTCCATGAATGACTGAAAAATTGTGCTGAACACTGGAATTTGACACAACACTGTAAAATGATTATGAATCAATAAAAAATGTAAAAAAAAAAAAAAAGTCCAAAACTTCCGCTCATCAAAATACACCATTAACACAATGAATAGGTAAAGCCACAAACTGAGGGAAAATATGTGAAAAACATATATTTGACATAGGATTGTTACACAGGATATAAAAAGAACTGCTACAAACTGGTAACAAGACAGCCCTTCCTCAAAAATATTGCAAAAAATATTTGAAGAGACTCCTCCCTAAAGAAGATACATGAATGGCCAATCAGCACACGAAAAAATGCTCAGAGTTACCAGTCATCAGGGAAACAGAAACTCAAGCTGTGGTGAATTATTATTAAATATCCATTAGAACAGTTCAAAGTAAAACCAGCACCACCCCTAAACGCTGATGAGCATGTGAATCTCATTGCTGGTGGGAAGTATAAAACGATACAACTATTTTGGAGACAATTCGTGCAGTTTCTTTAAAAACTGAACATATAACTATGCTATGACCTAGTCATCTCACTCCTAGCTATTCACCTAAGAGAAATGAAAGCATTTGTCCATAAAGATCTGTATAATAGTGCTCAGAACAGGTTTATTTGTACTATCTCAAAACCTGGAAACAGCCTAGCTGTTCACCAAAAGAAGGAAAAAAATGGATAAACTCATCAAGCAACTTACTCAGCGATAAAGAAGAATAAATTACACTTACACTGAAAAACGTAAATTTCAAAAAAAAAAATATCCTGAGTGAAAGAAACTTCACACAAAAGAGTATACATATTACATTCTCTTTATATAAAGTTCTAGAACAGGAAAAACTAGTCTATGATGGAAAAATCAGAACAGTGGTTGCCCTTCTGAAGACAGTGGCAGGACTGATTGCAGGAGGCATGAAGGAACCTTCTGATCTGATGGGGATTTTTTTTTAATCTTGAGAAGAGATTAGAAAACAACATTTATACATTTGTCAAAATTCCTGAGAGTGGTCCACTGTGTATAAATTTTACCTTAAAAGAAGAAAAGAATCATAGATGAATTATACACAATGAAGCGTTTAGCATGAAATGCACTGATGTCTGCAGCTTACTTTTCAACGTATTAAAAAAAAAAAACCAGATGAACTGATGGATGAATAAAAGAACAATCAGATGCATATCTATATAGTAAATGTAAATTGAGTAAATATATAGTTAATGTGGTAAATATAGTAAAATGTTAACTGTGGAACCTACGTGGCAGATATATGGCATGTACTCTACAATTCTTTTAACTTTTCTGTATGTTTGAAAATTTTTATAATAAAATGTTAGAGAAAAACAGAGCACATTTTCCATACCTGTGAAAATGACAAGGCCTCTCCACTCTGTACCAAAAAAAAAAAAAAAAAGGAAGGAAGGGAAAAATATCACTGACCTTTTTCCTTTTCCTTTGCTTGGTCTTAGCTGAGTCTTGCCCGGCACCCCCGTTCCCTAGGGACGCTGACGTGGTTTTCCCCGAGTGCTGTGACCCAGATGACGGAGCTGTTGGTGTGGGAGGAGGTGTGTTCTCAGGAGAGTCTGGGGAGGACTTCATGCAAGACCCCTGTCCAAAGAGATGCGGCTTTGAAATCAAGCGACCAGAACTTCCAGTGACATTCGATTTTGCTTAGTATCTCATGAACCCAACATTTGAAGGTTACAAATATAAAAACACTATTATTATCCTATCCACAGAAATGATACCGCCATCTTGCCCCTCGGGGTCTAAATGCATTAATTAAATAAGGATTCCTCAGATACAGCTTCCAAAATTTCTGATCTTGTCAGATACAGGTATGTTCACTGAGAAATTCTGTCGGCACTGCAGACTCAAAAGGAAGCTCTGAACTTCCCCTCAAACAGGATGCCTTTCCAGATATTATCTGTCAGTGGTGACCAGCCTCCTAGTAACTCAGACCAGTGCTTTGGGGTCAATGCAGATGGATCTGTAGCTCCTCCAACCCCTAGTTCCCTCCGTCCTTCAGAATATCCCTCACATCTGTCTGGTTTCCCTGGCTATGACTGCAAGTCTGTTCTCTCTTCCTGTGGAAGCACTTCAAATATTTGAAGACTGTTTTATTTCACGGCCTCCTTTCTTATCTATAAGTCAAACACCTCAAGTTCTTCCCACCACTACTGTGAGACATGCTCTCAGGGTCCTTCACTCCTGATTACTCTCCTTTAGACATCCTCCACGCGTCAATGTCCACCCCACAGGATGGTGCCTAAACACTGAAACAAAACCAAAAAAGTTTCCTTTTCAGTAACATCACAATATTGGCTCCTAAGAAATTTAACGGCAAATACAAGTCTCTGAGTCTTTTTCACATACAGTATCGTTAATCCACCTCTTCCTCATCCTATCAGCTGCACTAACCCTACCACCTACTGGCCTACAATTCTGTCACACATTTAAAAAATTATGCTCAATTTTGTAAAATGTTTTGCTGAAATTCAGATATTGGTTTCAAGAGTATTCGTTTGATCTGCTTGCCTAGAAACATCAAAGAAGGAGGAATAAAACGAATGTGGCACGAGTTGTTCTTAGGAAAAATAAGGTAACTCCCAGAGCTCATTGCTTCTGTTGCATAAACCGTATGTTAGGAAAAAATATGGAAAATTAACTTAAATTAATATTGAACTTGATAATCTGAGAAACCTAAGCTTAACCTTAATCAGCTCAGTTCCATATATGGTTAGTGTTCAAGGATGACAATCATTAAAACAGAATGCGCTGTGAATTAGCTCCATGCCTTGGGTTTCCAATTCTAATCTATGGTACATAGCACCTCCATTTGGACCTTCTTAAAATATCCTTTTGAACTCATCACCCTTTAGCCAAGAAACTTTCAACTCTTCCTTAATAACTCTAGGTGTCCTAAGGCCTTTATTTTCTAACCACATTTCCTACTGTTCCTTCTCAATGAATCCTCTGCTTGAATATTTTCATCAGTTTATTTTTTCCCTGTACAGGTACACTCATGCTGCCTCTGAGGCCTGGAGTGTTTCCCGCACTTCTGCCATCTCACTGACGTCCTAGTGCCTCCCTTCAGCACCCAGTTTCCTTCCTGAGGTCTTCTTTGTGATTAGGGAGTTGTTTTTATCTCTGAACTTTTTGTCTATGCCATTCATTTGGAAACTAGTATATGCAATCTTAAATTGTCTGTTGGTTTGCTTGTTCATTTACTTCCTTGTTTGTTTTACAGAATATTCTATCTCCTGGAACACAGATTTTATCAGTCTCGAGTCCCCGTTGGTACTTGATTCGGTAAAGTCCTTAAAAGCAGGCCCTTGATATTGGTTGCTGATTTGCAATGTGGATAAGTAAGATTCCCACTTTCGAGTGGCGATTCCTTTTGTGTTGTGGCAGGTAACAAAGGGCAGGAGGACTTCCAGTCCCTCTGAATGTCCATTCTGACCTCCATGTACATTGGAGGAGGGGGATGTCCAGTAGGCCAGGGAAAATGTCAGGCTTGTAGTAACACACTAAGCCAGGATGCTAAGTATGGGAGCTCATGCCCCCACCTCCCAGAGAGCCCAGGAAATTCAGCACACATAGGGCATTTTTGGTAACTGCTGGGGAGCTGGGAACAGCTGCTGTGGTGGCTGAGCAGTTGCCCAGGGCAGCGTGGCCACCCTGGAGAGCCAAAAAGTGGGGGGAAATAGTTTTCCTAGCCATGCAAGCAATCCCTTGGATTCTAAGGGAAAACTAGGCTTGTTATGTTCACTGTAAATTTCTTCAATTAGAAATGTTACAACAAATTTGTCTGATGTTAATGAAAAGCATACTTAGAGTCACAAAGTGAACATGTACCAAAGACAGTTTAAAGAGTGTTCTTTGACATCATAATTTGGGTTTGTAACATAAAGAAAACAAATAGTGTTTAATCAACTGGGTAAGCTTTAGGGACTTTTAAAGTAAGTTCACTGATAATGATGTATGACCTTTGCCAAGAAAAAAATGGATTTTTAATGGACACAAACATTTTAATTCCAACTTTAATTCTAAGCCAATTCTGGTTCTACAAGGGGCATAAGAAAAGTCAAACTTTTGGCTTGTAGTAAGATATAGCCATATATCTTTACATACTTTCTAAGTATCCTAGAGCAGAGATACTTAAATTTGGGGCTCTTAGGATTTGTAGATCCCTCACCACAGAATGGTTTCAGAGGGTCTCTGAACACTCTGAAATTATATACAAAATTTGCTACCGTATTTATGGAGAAAGGGTTTACAGTTTTCATCAGATTCTCAAAGGGGCTTAGCCGTTTTTAGGTTACGTTTCATCCGACTTGATCCAGAGCTCACTTCATTATTCATGTGGATATTAACCTAACCTCCTTGCTGCCTTCTCTATGGTTACTAGATTGAATTATATGAAACTGATGTTTCTGCTAGTGAAAAAAAAAGGTCAAATATTGGCATATTCATTCAATAGAGGATTTTACATTTCTGGGTTTTAGGCACATGTTGCTTACAGAGAGTATTTTTTTATACCAAAAATGGTACACGGTTATCACACAAAGCCATAAAGTTGGCAAGAAGACTTTCTGGTCCCCATCGGTGGGGATCCCAGCAACATACACTGAGTCAGAAAGGATGTTACCTTCACATGACAGGGCCAACTGGAACATGGAGGGTAAATGGAGCCACGCCTCCTTAGGGCATGTTCAGAGATGGATCAATAACTAGAGAGTAAAATTAGCAATAAATGCCAGAAATTATTACTACCTGAATAATAATAATCATCTTTTCTTTGAAGCAAAAAGAAATATATAACTTTTTTCAATGTTATCCTATTACCTAAGCCAGTTGTTCATCTCCCAAGGAAATGAGAGAGGCTCTTTCCCTGAAGGGCCAGAAGGGCTAAATAAGGCAAGGAGGTGAAGACATCACCACACTAAGTGGCCTGTTAGGGCCTGGTACATAGCAGATATTTGTTTGAATGCTGAATGTATCAAGATTCTTTGACTGAAAGCTATACATTTCTGTATCATCTTTCTCTTAGAACTACTAATGTAAATATGAGACATGAGAAAAAAAATCAATGGATGTGTCAAAGACATAATTTTTTTAATACTTACCTCAGCAGAGTTGTGATACTGAATGAAGGTTGCAGAAATGGCATGGCTGAAGGGGTCTCCTGCCTTGGTCACCATGTCCTGCCTCACGAGAAGTGCCAGATCCACCAACTAGAAGGTCAGAGAAATGAAAACAAAGTCACAAGCTGGAAATGATCACCAGTGTCACTGAAATGGCGGAACTAAAAGTAATATATCCCAAATGTTACTGATAGTCCTGCCTGCCTAAAAATACGTGCTGTGGACATGAGCTTGTGCTTTATTGGCTGGTAAGTGGATCTACCGTGAACAGAAATGATAGATTCTGACCTTCTAGGGAATGGTTTTCAAAGTTTATAATCAGTAGGGAGCATTTAAAATACAGATTTCTGGGTTCCAAGCTCCTAGATTCTAATTCAGTGGGTCTGCTTCTTGGGTGTAGCCTAGAAATTTACATTTTAAACAAGAACCAAGGAGATGCTGGTGTGTGTAGCTGAAGAACCATGCTTTGAGAGACTGTTGGAGGGCAGTGATTCCAGACTTGGATCCTGGGAAGCACTCAGCAGATTTTACGAAAGATATTTTTCAAAGCTCAAAAATAATCTCTAAATGAGAGCTGTGTATTTCAAATTCAATGTGGAGGAAAAGCTGGCAAGGGGCCCATTTCTGGTTTGGCTAAAGTTGCAAGAGAGAGTCCTTTTCACCCTCACACACATCAGAGCTGAGGATGCGAATAAACATAATTGAAGTAAATTTCAGAAAAGGATGAGATTATCACAGGAGAAGACTCATGGCTGTTCTCACTCCTGGCAGAGCAGCAGACAGAGAAGGACTGACCGTGGAAAGGGACAAGAAGACAGCAGCTGTGTATGGCCTGACATGACAGACTCGAATTCTTACCTGTGCCACCGTCTCGTACGCTAAATATGCTAAAATCTCCATCGCGACAACATTGGGCTTTATCTCCATACTGCTGCAGTCCAACCAGTCTCGAAATTTGGAGGCTTTTTTGGCTAGCCGTTAAAAAAGAGTAGAGGAAATTCAGTTTTAGGAGTGTTTTACTACTGCATGTTACTAACACAAAAGAAAAAATACATCTTTTGAAAATTGCATATGAAAATCAGTGCATACGAAAAAAATGCAATGTTTTTGAAGTTTTATTACTGCCTTGGTGTTCTCGGACCAAGAAATGCCTGATACATCTGCATCCTGTATTTAGTACCTATGCCATGGAACACAGTATAGTCAACCACTTAATGTTTAGCACTTTTCACACTGTGTCAAAATAAGTTATCACTGGCCACAGGATATGTTATAGCAATAGTCAGAAGAATTATTTGCTTGATGGAACTTTAATTTATTCTCGTAGAAAGAAAATTCTGCAAGAAAGAACCTGTGATGAATAAAGGAACGTACAGAAACTGTATTTCTAATCACTTTCAAATGTATTGAGTACTAGAACCGGCTCAAGGTTGTGAATTTAGAATTAAATGGAATAAACTGATATCTGGGCTGAGCTAAGCCTGTGGCTACATTTTCCTGATTACAAAGATTTACAAATTCTTAAGCCCGACTCTCAAAATCATCCAGACTGATTCCAACCTGCCTTTATATTCTTCCCTGTGAAAACGTCACCCGGCCTTAAGTAGAATCCTCTCTGTGTTCACCCCTGCTCCTTTCCCTCCCCATCACCCTGCTTCATTCATATGAACCCTGCCCAGACAAGCCAAAGGTGTACTTCCCCACTCTAGCCATTTACTGAACACTTACATCATCAGAGATCTTTCATGTCTGCTTATAATCTCTCAAGCCACATTAGAAGTTTTTTGTGAGCCAATACCATGTGTCACATCTTTCTGCATACCTAACAGTACTAAGCACACATGGAATCTTCCATTCAGTTGCCACAGTGCTAAGCGGAGTCTGACTCGACATAGGGCCTTCATTAGATATCACTAAACTTAACTAGTAACATAGAGGGAAAAGATTGATAGAGAAGATTTTATCATATCTATAACATAATAATCTTAAAAAAATCCGCTGATTATTCTTTTGATTAATCGGGACCCACTGGTCTACAAAATACTATGATGTTTTGATCCTTATAGATACAGACTTCATGAATTCCACATACAGAAGAGTTTTCTTTGAAATAAATCACTGAAGACATTAAGTCCTGCTATCGAAGTACTTATCCGAAGCTGTCAACTGTGGCAGAATTATGATAATCCCCCTTAAAGTTATCTCCCTAAAGGAACCAATCTTCTAAATTCTCTCTGACATGCAACATTCCATCCACCCAGTACGCTGCAAGAGCTCACAGACACTTGTTTAACATCTGTGGAATACTCTTAAGTCACAGGTAACAGGCAGCAATTTGGTGAGATCAATAAAATGTAACTTATTCCCGTCTCCCTTTGACAGGTAACAACACGGAAACAGATACTTTGTGATTATGCTCTAAACATGTTATTTGTAAAGCGAGGGAAAGGACAGTTCTTAGTATTCTGTCTGATCCGTCCACCTAAGCAACAGAATTGGTAGCGTCTTCCGTAGATTTTTAGCTAAGAAGGCAGAGGTGAGGGCCATGTGTCCACCATGGCATCCCAGCACCCAAAACAGTGCCTGGCATTAGCAGACTGACAACAAACATTTCTAGAAGAAATGAATGAATGAATGAATGAACTAATGAACAAACAAAAGATATTTCTTTAATAAAAGAGTAAGGTCCAAACTTTTCTATACATCAAAGAAGATGAATAGAGGTCCCATCAAACCACTTGGGTGACTGCTATTCCTGCCACAGGTGAAGATCTGCTGAGCTAACCCCCTCCCTGTCACCTGCTTCAGAGATGGACCTTCCAGGATAACACTGGTTCCACCAAAAGAGGCTCAGATACCCTTAGTCATGGCAGCCTGTTTTCATCAAGAGGTGAGGGGGAATCAAACTGAATGAGTTCCTTTTCCTTCAGCCAGTGTCTCAGGAGAAAGGGTATTCCTGGGAATTGATCAACAATTTAAATAGAACCTTGATCAAAGGTCAAAAGTTCTAGGAGTCTCAGTTTTCTGACACTACCTGGGTTTTTAGCCCACGCTGGAAATAAAACAAATTTATGTAATAATTTTACATGGAAATTTAAGGTTAGTTGAATCTCATATACTTTCTTTCTCACCAGTGATCACTGGCAAAATTCAAATTTCTCTCAATATTCCATGCTGTCATCCCTGCACACTAGTTCATTATTTCTACCACACCCCTTCTCACCAGCCTTTCCGTTCCTGATCCTTCCCTCAGGGCCCTCTGTGATGACCATTCCACTCCCAAGAAAGTTGTCTGCAACTTCTGTCTCTTCACAATCACTGTTCTTTGGGTTAACTGAAAATAGCCTTCCTCAGAGGGTGTGATTTTCCCTGGAAACTTTTATAGCAGAGATTCCTTCTTTCTTTCCTTTTATTATATATTGATCAGTTACTGACTGCTAGCCTGTTCATTTCCCCATCTACCCGAGGGCCAGGGGCAGTGTCTTTATTCTCCTCCCTCCTCCCACGGGGAAAACACAATGCAAGTAGACGGTGGATTTCTAACCAACAACAGAGGCTATGAGACAACACAGTCATGTTTTAACCAATAACTATTAGTCTACAGTTTCCTACTTACCTATCATTTAAGTATGAGGGCAAAATAAGGCTATTGTTTATGAGTGCTTTAAGCACTTACAGAGTCCTAGGAAAAACAAAATTAGGCCAAGAAGAAAAGTTCAGATCAGGCATACCTTGGAGATATTGTGGGTTTGGTTCCAGACCACCATAATAAATCAAATATTGCAATAAAGCAAGTCACACAAATTTTTTGGTTTCCCAATGCATATAAAAGCTATGTTTACACTATACTGTGCTCTATTAAGTGTAAAATAACATTATGTCTAAAAGATGGACATAGCTTAATTAAAAATAGTCCTCTATGAAAAATGGCACCAAAAGACTTGCTTGGCACAGGGTTGCCACTAACCTTCAATTTGTAAAAATCAGAAAACCTGTGAAGCACAATAAAGCAAAGCCCAATAAAATGAGGTCTGCCTGTATTTACCAGCTTTAAACAATCTAAGTCAGGGATGTACTTTAGAAAAATTAGGGATAGCAACTAAGATAAGAACAATATAATATATAATATATAAACTGGTTGAGGAAAAAAGGACTGAAGAAAACCTAATCAACCCAGAGAAAAGGAGGAACAGCAAATAAAAAAGCACAGTAAATTCAACACACAAACTAAGACAGTGTATGTAAACCCAAACGTATAAGTAATTAAATACATATACATTAAACTCATCAATTAAAATACAAAGAGACTCTCCGACTGACTAAATAGAAAATTTAGATATTCTGTTTAAAAAATCCACATATAAAACAGAACGTTGAAAGGAAAGGACTGGGAAAAGATTTACCAAATTGTAAGTAAATTAAAACTTTGTGAATCAGTATCAGATTTTTAAAAGACTTTAAGGGAGATGACTATCTGACTTATATACACAAGAAAACAAAATATGGGTGAATCTGATCAGTGTCCCAGTTCTACAACTTACCTGCAGCCTATAAAGTTACAGACTTGCTGTTTTAAAAGGCACCAGGGGTCTCAACTGGGGAGAGCTATGATCAAACATTTAAGAACTCACATACGGCTGGATCACAATTCCTATGTCCTGGTAATCTATGAGGAAAGGAGGGGAAAGAGCCTAACACTGCCCACTGTGGGTATGAGTTCTGAATTCGCCCATCCCCTTGGATTAAGGACCCCCAATGACAGCATTGTGGCATATAAAACAGATTGTCTCACTAAGGTTTGATGATGAAGCATCAATGGGCATCGTGTAAGGAAATATTTTTAAATGCCCAAATCCCTCTTCTTTAAGGAAAAAAAGTTAAGCACAATATACTCTTTATCCTGCAGTTATTTTATACAGAAATGGGAAGTATTACTTTTTAGTCTATAATAGTTTATTATTGAGTTATGAATAAAAAAAGTGAGTTATGAAATATCAGATTTTTCAAACAAAAGGTGTATTAGGACATTTCAATGACTATGTTTTAGTGTGAAATAGCACTTCTGTTCCTTTAAGTAAATTAAGTTTAAAATATGATTTTAAGAAATAGTTCAATAGCACTAAATGTTACTTTATAAAGTGGAGATTTATACTTATAAAAGACTTGTATGCCATTTTTAAACCTAAAAATTACAATACAAAAACCTCTCATTTGCTGAAATTGCCATGATCTGAAGTGTCATTTACTTAATGCTTCACAGATGTATGATGCCAAATTGTTAGTCAGACTGCAAAGTATATTTAGTTCGGAAAAAAATCTTCCAAAACATGTTTTCCTATATTTTACTGACATTTACATGGGGCACTATTTGAAATGTGTCATTTATTTGCACTTTATGATCCATAAATGAAGCTTTCAGTGTCTTTTCCCAAATCAAATGCGTTGTTATTGTGACCACAGAATAGCTTTTCGTTTAAAGACACCATTGTGTTTCTAGTCCCCCAGCCCAGGGTCATGTGCTACTTTGTCATGGTTTTAACTGGACTTTGCATCACACTTACTCTTTGACCTTTACCCCAGGACTCTTAGTCATCACAGAACTGTTGCTGTAAGGAGGTTCTGCTACACAATCTGGCCCCGTATTTCTCACGAGCCTTTACGCACTTTGAGGGAGGCAGTGTGCAGTGATGGAACAGAACTAATTTTACCACTGGGCACAAGAGCACAGGCTGATGAATTTGGCAACCACGGAGCTCATACCACAGCAGGAGGTTACAGACAAAAATGGAAGAGACTGTTGATCTGATCTTCTGTGGTAATATGGATATGCATAAATAAATGGGAAGTTTGGTATTTATTAGTATTAGGGGCTTTTAAATGTCATGACTGTACGACTAGAGTCCATTATGGGTCAAGTACAATCAGCAGTACTAGTGTAAAGATGACTAAGAAACGGGAAAACAAATTTAAATGGGAATATTAAGAAAAATGGAATTTTTCTGACTAGAAGTAATCTGAATAATTGACATGGCCCTCTGTGTATTTCCAGCACCCCTTAAAACCTCTTAATACTATTAATTGCAAAACAGTAGAGAGGGATAAAATTTTTTATGGGTTCCCTACAACGCAGAGGCTATTTCTATAACAGTTATAACCAGGCATATATGTATTAAATTCACCAATTTCTAAGGAACAGAGATTGTGTCATACTTGAGTGTACATAACACATAATCTCCTAAACATATAATGAAGCAAAGTTAAATGCTTACTTACAGAAACTTAATTGTCGACTTTCACAGAATTCTGCATACTGAGCTGAATCCATAATTCGAGTTTGTCTTTCGGCTCTCTAATAGATAAAAATAAAAAGACACACAAAAGGTTTTAAAGCAAGTGGACTATTACGTTTTCACAGCTAAAACTCAGAACTGAAGTTCCACTTCCTTTCCTTACTCTAGGGGAACAGCTGAGTACCCCATAAATACCATGATACATGAAATTATGATAAGTCACAGCAGTTTTGAAGCTTGTTTCTCTGGGAAATGAGGTAAAAAAATCATTTTCACTCCTCTGTTATTTTTATTATAGCGAAAGAAAAAACTAAAGGGCCTCAATTCTTACATTGCGCACTTCTAAATTTTATAAATCTTGTCATCCTTTTAAAGAAAAAGCAAACCGTGAGAAGGTAACAAATCAAACAGAAAATCTGTTATTAACTATCACTGCCCATCTGCCTTAAAGCTGGGAGTTTTCAGCGTTAAAATAGGAGTCAACAAATGGAATCCATATATTTCTCTCAGAACATGAGGCCAGAGCTAACAAATCCATACTTTCAATTGCAAAGAAAATAAAGAAAAAGGTAAACACAACACAAATCCTTTGATCTGAGTCCAGGTATGATTCACAGTTCGGTATAGTTTCATTCGTGGGTTTTCTGATTCAGTACAGCAGATGTTTGCTGCTTCACTGTCCCACAAGAGGTAGGATAATTATAATTCACCCATAGTTTGGTGGGAAAGAATATGACCGCTTCCGCTTCCTTGGCAAGGGAAGCGTTTTGAAATGAGACAGGCTGGTACTTCTTGGAATGAGTTTCTGGCCAGTAAAGGAAAAAAAATTCCCTGAGATTTAAAATTTTTTTCTGCTTTGGAAGGACTTTTAGCGAGTTTTCTTTATCACAGTTGATGGAGTGCATACGTACCACTTCTAATGTCTGCAGATATATATATTTTTAAACTAAAATGATTATTTTTCATTTTGCCTGACTTGGGTGAGTGGACAACTTAATTCCAATGATATATCAGTTGATGGAATGAATAATGGTACACTAGCTACAGCTCAATACAGAAACGACAGATGGGGTGGGAGTTAAGGCAAAATTTACTAACTACTGCAGTTCCTTCTACGACCACTGGCTTTTTGCCCCCTTCCTCTCTTCCTCTCCTCCTTCCCTTCTTTCCTTCCTAATCTCCCCCATGCATACTCACAAACACGCATGTGCACTGACACAAACCCAGGCTCCTCTTGTTTATTTATCCTCTAGCTTCAAGCATCCTTCTTGAACATCTACAAATAAATATTACACACACATGTGCATGTACATGTATGTGTACGGGTATCCTGTTGTGTGTGAATCTGAAACATCGAGTCCCTTAAGGGTATATATTACTGGATAAATTTTTACATACTTTAAAATATTTTTTGATATACGAATGCATGATTTAGCTTTGTCCTTCTTTTTAATGATTCAACGAATGTTTGCTAATGAGAAATAGGAAGGGATAATTTATGTGTTTTGAGCATAACAAATCAGTTACTAATGTGTTTATTTAAAAAACCTCTAAAACCAGTATCTTTAATGTATGTTATGTATTACATACGTATGTCTGTATGTCAGTCTGTGTCTGACTGTAGCAGGAACCTCTCCAGTTTGGATTTCCAGCTCCTAGGATATATCTGACACATGATAAATGAGCAATAAAACACTGGTGAAACAAACAAATGCTACCATTTTGGTCACGATGTGGGCAAATGACTATAATGCAGCCACCAGTCCCTGATTATCCAGGCGCCAAACACACGCTAGACAGAAAGCTGGCAGATGACGATGGAAAAAGAAAGTTCCCAACGGGATTCTTAACACTAACTTTGCTTCCAAAAGTTGGACATTCAAGATTTGGCCTCTGTATACATGCTGAGATAGCTGATATACCTGCAGTAAGTATTTCTGGAAATGAAAGTTAGGAAAACTGATCCTAAGAAGTTAAGGTTGCCAGAGTTGCCAACATTAATTTAAGTGAGGTGTTTAACTAGTTGGACACTTCTGAACTGCAAAGCCTACCATCTCACTACATTTCAAAGACACGAGAGGACTTTAAGTGACGAGAACTTAGCTTTATTCCGTTTAGACACCCTCTTCGGTGTCTATTCTCTTTTCTTCATTAAGCATCTTAGTCTGATGTTAATTCCTCTGCACAGTAACCTTTGATCTCAGGAGCCCCACAAAGCCACTAGGGCACACACAGGAATCATCCAAGTGCCTAGCACGCAGCAAGCACTCCATGCAAAGCAGCTGACTCCACAGCAAAGCTTTACAGGCAGTACAAAATCATGGCCTACCAGAGCTCGACAGTAGCTTAAAGCTCCTCTTCTTCAATCTCCCTCACTTTAAAGATAAGGAAATCAAGGTTCAGAGAGAAATGATTTGCCAAAGGTGACAAGTTAGAACTGAAGACCAGAGCTCTCAGTCCCCTGAGCCAGCCTATTTCATTTAAAAGGTTGTCCTCCACCTAGAGTAATGTTTTACTCCAACATTTTTTTCTGGGATCCCCTAAATTCTATACATTATCTTACTGAAATGTATCATGAAGCCACCATAATTAACACACCCAAACTGTTCATGAGAAAATGAAATTAGCGAGGCCCTGGACTGGCAAAGAAGGCAGATCCTGGAATAATCCAGAGCGTGTACACAGCCACGCATGTGACAGTGTATAGGGTGGCTGCGAACACGTCCCAGGTGCGCAGGGACACTGAGTCCCCTCAACCGCTGGGTATCACACAAGGCTGTGGCAGCAGAACCCCAGGCCCGTATCTGGTGACGAGATGCCTTGTGCATTTCCCTTGGTGTGGCATAAAAATATGATTTTCTATGTGTGCTTGACATGAAAAAGGTTGGGAAGACTCCTACTAACACCCTCGAATCCACACCACCTGGCACAGGGCACGTACGCTACTCAGCTCGGTCAAGTGAGCGCAACCAGAAGTCAGAGACACTACCTGGGACCTGAGGACGATGAAGACGATTCAGACACTCCTCATGCTAAGTTTTGTTTACCTCTCTCTCTTCCCTAGGAATTGTTTCAAGTGACGGAAAGGGGACAAATTCAGCCTTATAAAAGGGTCCCCAGTAACTTGGCATCCTGTTGTATCACCCCTTAGTCTTACGCTATTACCTTAAATACCAGGAAAGGCAGGGAGTATCCAGCCTTCTTGGACTATTTGCTGTTCAAGGACAGCAACTACGTTTTGCTTCTATAAACTCAATGTTGGCCTCTGCTCAGCTTAGATTTACCTGGGCCTCAGTAAACATGTGCTGGTTGGCTGAGTGACTGGGCAGATGGATGGGTGGATTAAGGCAAAAGAAATGTATACAAATCCTTGTTGGCTGATCTAAAATTAGGAACTGTAATATCTGTAATCAAACTGTACAAATTCCAGAGAAGGTAGGCAGTTTTTTAAGCCAGAGACCCATAAAAAACAAGACCCTGGCCAATGGTGAACTAAGGTTGGCTCTTATTTCCTGTGTGGTCCTAACTCTACTTTTCCTTCTGGCTCTCTTCAGATCACCCACTGTAATCCACACTAACGTGCACGCTGGCAGTCCTCTTCTATTCCTGGAACTTTAAGAAATCTCTGGGAAGAGGCACAACGGAGAAAAATCATAAACCTAATAAAAGAGCATGACCAGAATAACAACGACAGACCAGCACAATAATCTTTAAGATAAACAGTTTTAGTAAGAGCCTTTCTTTTCATCCACGTAACGGAAATAAGATGCCTGGAAAAAAAAAAAGGTAAATAGTTTTTATAGCTCCATCTTACAAGCTGAGCACACTGAGATTTAGGGAAGTAAAAAAAATTAAAGCACATAGTTAATACAGAGGCAAAGCTAAAGTAAAACTTGGGTCCTGAAGGACCTACTCTGAGGCACATCACTGAATAATCGCAACCACAGCTTTTATTCATCCTGAACATTCTCAAATGACACATGCCCCCCTGATCCCGGGCAGCCACATGAATGTAAGATCATCTCTGGACACTCATGCTCTTGTATCTGCAAGTCCAGTTCGTCTTCTGCTTCATCTGTCACTTCTGCCCACTCCTGGTTTTCTTTAGTGTCGGCAGTGTTCTTGAAAACTCCTAAAAATATGCTACATACTCGGGAGGCTTTCTTGAAACTGAACCTTGCTAGGACCACAATATAGTGAAGTATCACCAGGTAGGGGCATACATGGATAAATTACTTTAGAAAGAATTATTCCTAAAATTTTCCAAATATCCAAAATATTTTAAAATTTAACAGAAATAGCTTTAAAAAAAAGGTAAAAGAGAACAATTATGTTCATAGTCATTCATCTCACTACCAAGGTTACAGCTCTTGGTTACAGCTCTTTCTGGTTATTGTAAAACTGAAGGTAGATTTCCATGCCAGATGAACTCATTTTCTGGGTCCTACCTTAAAGAAAACAGAGGAGGAAATATCCCTACAGATGCAGTATTTCGTAAAATCTGTTTGTTTAATGAACACAAAAGACTCTCAGTATATGCTAGCTAATTTAAATTTTCAGTGAGAAGTATTTTTTTTCCCCCTTTCCGGTTAATGTGAAATTGCTTGTCTTTGAAAAATACTTTCAGCAGTGACAATCAGCATTTGCCCCTGCCTCTATCAGTCTGAGGTATGAGGTTGGATTATCTCTGCAGTGTGCAGTTTTAAATTCTCTGCGTGCTTTCACTGGCACGTGTGTGAAAGTTCTAGAAGCTGTGTGCCAGCCTGACTCTTGGTGGCCTCTCAAGACACATGACTGTTGTCTTTTCTTCAACAACAAAGAATCACAGAACATAACTTTTAAACCAAGGTGAAAGTTTATCTGCTTTGACTTCCACCTGGGATTAAAAAAAAAAATTCTTATTTTGATTATACTTAGAAGTCTTACAGCCGAAATGCAAAGTCCTTTCTGCATGGAAAAGGCTAAATGCCGATGGTAATCTACCAAATACCTTACATTAGACAGCAAGTGGTTGCTGAACTCGAAAACTTCATATAGAGGGGTTGCCACGGCCTCCCTG